AGGTTGGAGGCCAGCTATGAGGTTGGGACCATCAGTAGTATAGGTTGAGGAGGTTGGAGGCCAGCTATTTGGTTGGAGGCCATTGCTAGTAGGTTGGAGGAGGTTGGAGGCCAGCTATTAGGTTGGAGGCCATTGCTAGGTTGGGACCATCAGTAGTATAGGTTGGAGGAGGTTGGAGGCCAGCTATTTGGCTGGAGGGTTGGGACCATCAGTATAGGTTGGAGGAGGCCAGCTATTAGGTTGGAGGCCATTGCTAGTAGCCACTCAGGCCCAGACCTTCTGGGGCGGTTGCCCCTCGGTAGTGGTGTCGCCCCTTCTTGGAAGGGGGTACTAGCTGGGCCCCGTTACTCCAGACGCCATGGACAGATCCAGGTTGCCTTCAGGGGCGGCCAGAGAGATCCTACGGGACTTTCAGTTGTGGGGAGATGACGGTGGTGATCTTGTTGAGCGTCCCTCCTTGCTGGTTCAGGATCTGGCCATTCAGAAGGCCGATACGCCATTTCTGTTCGAAGCTGGGCATCTGATTGCCAGTGGTCGTGGCCTGCGGCAGTTGGACATGGATAGTGTTTGGATTGGTGAGGATAGGGATATGCCACAATCCATCACCATGGACTGGAAGGCTACTGGCAAATCGGTGCTTCATGACATGTGCATTCGTGGTCTGCAAGGCAAACGCCTCATATGGAATGCTGCCCTGAACTACCCAGGTCCTGAGCACAAAGGATACCTGTCGATCGACGATGACACCTTGGTCTTGCCTTTGAACAAACGCTCCTCTGGAATTATTCCGGTTTTGCACTTCTTTGGTGGTGCTTGGGGAGGATGGAGCTACGCTTGTCAGCTTTTGGCAGAAAAGGATGTACCGATCATCTCAGGCTGCATTGAGGTGGATTTCACTGCGGCTAGGCAGTATGCCTTGTCTTACAGGTGTCCGCTCTTGTCGGCTGCGCAAGAACTTCCTCCTCTTTCCTTGCTATCCTTCCCTGAAGGTTTCTGCATCCATGGTGACGTCTTTGATGACAATTGGTTACAAGCTGCGGCATGCTGGAATGTTGAAGTGATTACAATCTCGGCTCCCTGTCCTCCATGGAGTGGCGCAGCAGGACAAATGGGCTTGCACTCGGCTGAAGGCCAACTGTTCATGAGGGCCATTGGGGTATGCAAGATTCTCAGGCCAAAGATCATTTTGATCGAGCAGGTGGCCGCCTTTCACTCTCATCCTCATCGAGCCTGGATCGAGAAGGCACTTTGTTTTGCTGGGTACCAACTTAGATTTGGCCATGTCATCGAGTTGAGTGATATCATGCCGGTCAAGAGGGCTCGTTGGCTGGGAGTTGCATACTTCATTCATGAACCGGACCTTCACTTTCCAGCTCTGTCCTCATGGTCCACTCAGAGAGTCAACATCTTGCTGGAATTCGATTGCATTCGTGCTTGGCCTCCTGACATTCTGTTGCGTCTTAAGGTGCCTGATGAAGCAGTGCAACATGCTCAGTCCTTACCTTTGGACCGTCCAGCGAAAGCCAGGAGAACACACTCGGCAGAGGAGGCAGTGGCTTCACACACTTTCCGGTCCACAGACTCTTGTGTGCCCACCTTCATGGCTCAATATGGCAATCAGCATCGGCTACGCCAAGAGCTTCTGGAACAGCGTGGCTATTTTGCGCATTGGCTCCAGACCGTGGATGATGACACGTATAGATTCTGGCATCCTGTTGAAATTGCACTCATGCATGGAGCTTGGAGTGGTTTCTGGACTGACCATCAGTTTGAGCAGAACTGGAAGGGATTGGGTGACCAGATTGCAATCCCAAGGCTGATTCAAGGCTTGAACATGTTGAGAGAAACGCAACCTGCAGTTGAATTGGTCGGAACTGTTGGCATACTTTGATCAACATCGACTTCGTGCCTCCGAGCTGTGTCAAGAGATCTATCCTTCAGGCTCCATGTGGATGAACCGACGCACGCGTTTCCTCCTGCATGAGGACCCTATCCAGCACTTGTTTCAGGAAGATTTGATTCAGCTCCCTCGTGATCATCTTTGGACACCAGAGTTGGGGATTCTCAAGCTCAGTTCCTACATTGAGAGAAGGGGAGATTGCACTGGGCTTCATGGCCTCCGACAGTGGAATCCAATTTCCATTCTGGCATCACAGAGAGAACACCTGGAGGTTACAGCTCCTGTTCGGCTTATGGTGCAGGATCATCTTCCCTGGACAGCCTAAGCAGTTCATTATTGAGCATGCTACTCCTGTGAAGGCAGTGTTGGCTCTGTGGAAGGGTGCATTACGACTTGAATCCGATGCCTGGGAGTTCGATGATCAGGACCGACTCTTTCCGGTGGATGATCCTTCAGGTGATTGG